ACCAACCTTGTGGTTAGCAGTTCAGTGCTTATCCTTGTTGTTGTTGTTAAGTGCTGTTGAATCAGTTCCCACTCATAGTGACCCTGTATAGGGTTTCTGAGAAGTAGCTAGTAAGCTTGAACCACTGACCTTGCGGTTCACACTGACCTTGCAGTCCAGCACATTAGCTACAGTGCCATATCAGCACTCCAGTGCTTATCCTATAGTGTCATAAAATGCTAAGCAAAAATATGTACTTGATTATGTGGGCAATGCAGAGAGCATGCTGTGGTTAGCTGCCATTGAGAAGAGTCAGACTTAAGGCAACCCCATGCACAATGGAACCCAACACTGCCCTATCCTCCATCATCGCATGGTTGATTGTGGATAGGAGTCCTGCTGTGGCACTATAGTCTAAGCATTGGACTACAAGGTTGGTGTAAACCACAAGGTAGATGATTCAAACCCACCAGCTGCTCTTCAGATACTCTACGTAGAGTCGCTATGAGTCAGAACTAACTCAACGACACTTAACAACAGCAACACGGCCACTGTGAATCATTGCGTTTTCATTGGCTGATTCTTGTAAGCTTGTCTGCAGGTCTTTCTTTCTAATCCATCTCAGTCTGAAAGCTCCGCTGAAATCTGTTCAGCATCTCAACAACACAGAAGCTTCCAGTGATAGATGAGTGGAGGGTGTGTGTGAGGTTTTACTGGCGAAAAACCAAATCTGGGTTTTCAGCACAGAAGGTGAGAACTCTGTCCCAGAACCATCAATGCCAAGTGTGGTGATCAGAAATTATGAGAAATACTAGGAGTGTAAGTGTGCCCTAGGAAAATTAACCTGGCCATAAATTAAGGAGACTAAGATTTACATCAGTGATGTAAATTGAAGCTAATGGAATTTCATTCATTCACCCACTCACTGAACAAAAAATTCTTTTGTGTTGTTATATATAAAAATCTTTACGGGAGCAGAAAGCCTCATCTTTCTCCCAAGGAGAAATTGTGATTCACAGCCCAGTGCTTATCCTATACTGCCACTAGGGCTCCTAGCCCTCAGGTATACAGTGGGATATCACCTGCAGATGATGGTTTAGTGGGAGTGATATCAGATCACCACACAGTTAGTGATACCATTTAAAAGAAGCTAGTTTGCTGAAGAAAGGCACAGGAGCCAAGGTTAAGAGGAGGATCTGTAGGCACCAGGAGTGACTTTCCTAGAGAAGAGACCATAAGCTAGATCGGAAAGATGACTAGTCAGATCCATTAAAGGAAGGAGGGAGAAATTACTTTTGAGGAAGAAGGGGTGAGGATGGGGTGACATGTTCATATTTATCTTGAAAGTGTTTCTGGTATCATTGTAGAAACTTCACTGGCAACACGGTAAGGGCAGATTTACTTGTACCAATTGGGAAGCAATAGCAGAATTTACATCAAAAGAGACGATGACGTCGAGAGATGCAGCAGTTGGGGACTTTGGACACAGAGAGGGAGAGGGGCTGTGTGCTGACGACCAGGGGGCAGACTTGTAGGGTATACCCTTTAGTTGGTTGATGATGCATGGAGGGGATTGTAACCATGGCAATGAAACAATATACGATAGGGTGAATGTAAAACTAATGTTCTCCCATGTAAACTATCACATAATTCACAATAAAACATTTTTTAAAAAGATGATTGTATGAGTACTGGATACAATGGAACTGCTGCACACAAAACTATGGAGGATTCTCACAGAGGTCAGGAGTCAGACACAATGAACACTTAGTGTATGATTGTATTTACATGAAATGCAAGCATAGAACTTTAGATAATGGGCTAATCTCTGGAGATAGATTTCAGAACAATGACTTCTTTGGGGACTGAATCAGGGTTAAAAGGTTACCTTCTGGGAGGCTGGAAATGCTCTACATCTACATATATTTTTAGTTATTGTTGTTAAGTGCCATGGAGGCAGTTCTGACCCATAGTGACCCTGTATAGGGTTTCCAAGGAGCAGCTGGTGAGTTTGAACCACCGACCTTGCAATTTAAACTAAGTTTGCAGTCCAGTGCATTAACCCACAGTGCCACACCAGTTTACTAATTCACACATGTTTTGTAGGAGTGACTTTTATGCCATGGAAACTCCCCCAAAATTAGGTATAATAGGTATTTAAAAATACATGCTGAAAATGTAATGTTAAAAAGGGAAATCAGGGTATAAACTTATATATATCATATCACAACTCTGAAAGACATTGTTAATATATATTTTGCTTTAAAAACGCAATAGAAAAATCACCGACATTGTATCATTGGTTGTTTCAGGGGGTGGGATTTCAGTTGACTTTTGTAAAGACGTGCCCCACAGGATTCTGGGAGACACTGACACAGTGGCTAAGGGACCATTCTCTGGAGGCACAATGGCAGGGAGCTGAATCTCAGTCTGTTCTTCCTTAGTGGAGTGACTTTCAGCAAGTTATAAAACATTTTTAGTCCTGTTTCCTTGACTATGAAAATGTTGTCATATGGTGCCTCTGTGTTGTCATATGTTGTCATATGGTGCCTCTGTGTTGTCATATGGTGCCTCTGTGTTGGGGTTCGGTAATGTAGTGGTTACGAGTAGGGCTACTAATCTGAAGGTCAGCAGTTCGAAACTACCAGCTGTTCCGCGGGAGAAAGATGAAGCTTTCTGCTCCTGTAAAGATTTACAGCCTCGGAAACCCTGTACAGGATTGCTATGAGTCGGAGCCTACTCCACGGAACATAACCACCACCAAATAAGATGAGCTGTAAACCTCTAAGCCCAGGGCCTAGCACACAGCGAGGCCCCCAGAACATCAGTTATTGCTCCTAAAGGGCACCTGGGAGACAGAGCAGCATCAGCTGCCCCGATTGTCCCTCTTTTCTGGGTCATTGATGGAGTTGGAGGCTGCTGAGGGGTTTTGAGGTGAAGTTGAAGCCCAGCAGAGCAGCCAGGAATTTGAAAGATGTTGGTCAGGGAGCACTAACAGGGTTTCCAGTGGTTCAGAATGCTCAGTTGTGGTGGGAGCCAAACACTTCTGGGATGAAACCCTTCACTTACCCTCCACAGCAAAAGAGGACGATGGACTTAACTCAGTGATGGACTGAAAAGGCAACTGTGATGGGAAGTTTAAGGGAATGCAGACATTTCTAGTACAATCTCCACAAAGTAGAACGATATTAAAATGCCATTTAAAATGGGATACTTTAAAATTGAACATTTCCTGACTCTGCGAAGCTAGGAGGATAATGCAGAGATGGATAGACTAAATAACTGCTGTGGAATCCACTCCAACTCCCTGCCCAGTCCTGAATCAGCCCCACAATCACAAACATATTCAAATCCATTGTCACGTAGACAGAACCTGATGTTACAAATGTATATAGAAATCACAAAAACCCATATCACTTGCTTTCATGCATAGACACGTTTTCTCTTTATGATATCCAACCGGGAATATTATGACACAATAGTCACATGCTATTTGAGCATATGAATTCTTCTTTTTAAATTAAAATGATCTAACTCCTCCAGAAAGCAGTGGAGCCCACAGCTTCTCAGGTGGAATTAGAGGAAATTTAATTGGCATTTAGCCAAAAAATGAGGAGGCATGAAATTCATACACACCTCAAACATTCGTAACTTGAGCAATAAACTCAAGAGCCAGACTTATTGTATTTAATATTGTTAGTCAGCTAAATGATGTTCATTGTTTAGACTAAGTTTTAGGATTGACTTTATTTATTTCAATGATACTAAATAGGAAACTACAAGTAAAGCTGAGATCTGTTTTGTTTTGTTTGGTATCACAGTAAAACAACAGTCTGAGAAAGGAATATAAGAGAGGTGTTTTTTGTTTCTTGTTTTTTTTTTATAGGAAGCATCTGAAAATCAATATTGTGAGATCTAACTGGATTTAATATGTCTTATTTAATAATTTCTTATCCAGAATGTGGGCAGGGAATTATGCCAACATTTGTAGCCTTATTCTGGTTGCAAATCCAATTAAAATGATCAAAAATGGTATAATTTAGACAGATAGCTCTGAATAATAATGATCTTGATCATTATACTAGCTACAATTTCTGTTAATGCTTTCTCTGTGTGTGTGTGTGTGTGTGTATAGTAAGTATTGTGTTACCTAGCATTGTATTATGTAGCATTTTAGATGTATTAGCTCATTTCCCACAACAAACCTGTGAGGCAGATATTATTGTTACACCCATTTTATGGATGGGAAAAATAAATTTCAGACTAGGGTGATTAACTGTTCAGTTTTTCCCAGGACTGAAGGATTTCTTGGGATTTGGACTTCCAGTGCTAAAACCAAGAAAGTCCCAGGCCCAATGGGATGAGTTGGTCACCCTCATATATAGCTTGCCTACAGGAATTTGAAATTCCGTCACTTCATGGTGGTTAGTTTTCTTAGCTACTCCCAGCCTTGCTCCAGAACACAGTCTACAGTCTTGCTGTTGTTGTTGTTAGGTGCCATTGAGTCAGTACTGACCCACAGAGACCTTATGCACAGCAGAACGAAACACTGCACAATCCTGGGCCAACTTCATTATTTTTGTCATGCTTGAGTTCATCAATGCTGCCACTTGGCCAATCCATCTTGTTGGGGGTCTTCCTCTTTTTCTCTGACCCTCCACCTTACCAAACATGATATCCTTCTCCAGCAACTGAGTATGAGAGACTAAGTTTGGCCATCTTGGCCTCCAAGGAGCACTCTGGATCTATTGGTTCTTTTGGCAGTCCATGGCACTTTCAATATTCTCCTCCAACACCACAACTCAAAACAGTCTTAGAACAGCAAAAACATTCTTTGGCCAGAGACAGAAATCTTGCTTTAGATGCAGGAATGATATTTCATGTGGCATAACTGAAAAAGTCACCTTGCCTCTGTCTGTCCCCAAATTAACGAAGAGGTAAAGCCAAGCCTCCTCTTTACAACATTTTGGGAAGGGCTTACACATTTGGGAATCTGATAATCAGATGGAAAAACCACTCACCTTAGGAATCGGGTAGAGATGACATAATGGCTGACCAGGGTTCTGTTTACAAAACTTCAGAGTGTGGCACACCACGTCAGCATTTATATCTTTGTTAAGCCTGGGGAGAAATGGGGCAAAACAAAGGTCGTTATGATCTCTCAGGCATTAGAAAATAGCAGCTATTCCAAAGAAACGTAAATCTCCAGAGTGGATTCTAATACTCTCAACTCATTTCAGCAAGGCCTTTGAGTTCAGTCCTGTGCAGCTGCCAGATATAATGATTTCCTGTCACATTGCAGCTCCTACATTTAGAATAAGGTCCTGGCTGGTGGGAAGGGGGCATAGGCAGCCCCAAGCTGGGATTCAAACTCTCATACAAGCACTGCAATTCTTTATAGGAGAAGCCACACATAAAATTGAGACAGGAGAACTTGACAATGGTATAAATTGATGGGAACAATATTTCAAAGTGTGCTGGGCTGGATAGCAAGAACTCAGTTCTAAGCTAGGCTTGTTGTTATTATTGTGAAGTGCTGTCGAGTCCCATAGCGACCCTGTATAGAGTTTCCAAGGAGCAGCTGGTGAGCTTGAACCGCCGACCTTGCAGTTCAAATGGCTTGGCAGTCTGTCTCATTAACCCACAGCACTACACCAGGACTTCTAAGCTAGGCTTTTAGCCCCTTCAAATCTAGACATGGATTCAAACGTTTATAAAATGCCATCCTTACACCATTCCCAAGGATAGAATCGTATCAACTATATTGTATTTTCTTTTATAAGAATAGGAAAAATGCTTACTGTAAAAGGAAAGAGAATGATATGCATTGAGCCTAGCTTAAACACCTACAATTATTTTAAGCTAGGTTGGCATTTTATAAACGTCTAGATCCATGTCTAGATTTGAAGGGGCTAAAATAAAACTTCCATAGTCCTTTAATTCTTTGCCACCCTCAACATTCTTCTTTACAAACAAACAAGTATAATGTGCTGCTTTGAATAAAGGAACACACAAAACATAGACTTTTAGTAAATTTTTCAATTACTGATTTAAAGCAAACCAAAATAAAAGAGAAAAATCAGAAACATAGGCTGCTAATACCCAAAGAGACTAAAGTTTGTATTACATGGAAGACAGTTATGGATTCGAGGCAATAGGTACTTTTGGGGGTTCCTCCCCAGTTCCTATGATCACTTAACTGGTCCCACTTCACTGTTTTTGGACACTTAATGGGGCATCATCAGACTGCTAACTAATGGCCAAGCCAGACCTATCAGATTCTCTTATGGAAGTTTGGAATTGGGATTAAAATGTTCCACTTTCATCTGGTGTTGTCAGAATAAGAGCGATGATAACAGCGTGGGAACTATAAGGTAGGCATTTCCTGCCAAGTCAACTGAGTGTCTGGAAAGACAGTCTGCAAGAAGAGGTGGGGGCAGCACCCAGGGGATGTGCAGAAAAAAAAAAAAAAAAAAGAGGGGGTGGGTGAGATATGTATGGGATGTGTGGGGCATGCCTGATGGTTTCCCACTTCTGTTTCCAGTCCATTTTTAACCTTGAGTACCACGATTTGCTCTGTTGCTGTTAGCTGTCATTAACTTGGCTTCAAGTGATGGCAATCCCATGCACACCACAGTGAAACTTTAATCCTGTGCCATCTGCTCAATCATTGGAGCCCAGGGTTGTGCCTTCCAACCCACAAGTTTGGCAGTTCGAGACCACCAGCTGCTTCGAGGGAGAAAGATGGGGCTTTCTGGTCCCACAAGGACTTACAGCCTTGGAAATCATATACAGGGTCAGTATGAGTTGGAACTTAACGCTATATTGGACTGTTTTCACCCGTAGGGCTTTTCATTGGCTCATTTTCAGAAGTAGATCACCAGGCCTTTCTTCCTAACCTATCTTAGCATTGAGGCTGTTGTTAAGTACTATTCTTCCTGGTCTGTCTGGTTAGGATCGCTCCTGTTAAGTGCCGTTGAGTTAGATCTGACCCTGTATAGGTTTTCTGAAGAGCAGCTGCTAGGTTTGAACCATCAACCTTGTGGTTAGCAGTCCAGTGTTTATCTTATAGAGCCACACCAGAACTTTCAGTTTGTTTTGTTATTGTTGTTAAGTGCCATCAAGTCAGTTCTGACCCACAGCAACCTTGTAGAGAGTTTCCAAGGAGCGGCTGGTGAGCTTGAGCCACCAACCTCACAGTTTAAACCGACTTTGCAGTCCTGTGCATTAGCCCACAGCGCTCTATCTTAGCTCCACTGACACCCGTCCACCAAGGGTGACCCTGCTGCCACTTGAAATACGGTGACAAAAGCTTCTAGCATGGCGGCAGCACTTAAGCCACCACAGGGCAACAAGCTGACAGCGAGGTGGTGGCTGAACCCCATCCTCACTATAATGACGACCCCCACAGTGCTTCAATTACCACCACCTTTTCCTGTCTCCCCAACGCCCTTCCTCTTTGTTCTTCTTTGTTAATAAGGTCAAGCAGTTTTTGTTTCCAGCAGGGTAGTCATAGGCCATACAAGACCCATTTTTTAAATTTTATTAACTTTTTATTGTGAATTGAGTGATAGTTTACATGGGAGAACAGTGGTTTTACACTCATCATTTCATTGCTGTGATTCCAATCTCTGTGCATCCATTCTCTCTGCTTTATTTTTATTTTTTATTTTTTGAGGGGGCAAGGGATGTACACAAAAAACTCTGGTGTTGCTGCTCCTCAGGATAGGGTCCCACATTCCGCTTGTGCTCTTCTCCCTTGATGGTTCTAGGGTCCTCTGTTTTTGGACTGTAAGATGAACTATTCCCTGCTTTTTGTTGTAAAACTTCTGCCTTGACAGTTGTTACAGTCATAATTAGTACATGACCCACTTTTGAGAACCACTGATTAGCATAAGAGTGACTTGGCCTTCTGAGCTCAGGCCTGACTGGAAGTTGTTGAGTCTGCTCCCCCACTCCCTCCTGTGACCACTATAGTTTTCTGATGATACTCATTTCACTGAGTCTCAACTAGGTTGATCACTCCTCCAAAGGAACTTTAAACGTGGAGAAGCAGACTTAACACACTGGATATAGAAAGGTAACCCAAAACAACGGAAACATCCTAGTGGTGCTTTGTGAGTAGGGAACAGTTTCTGTTCTGCTTTGGATTGAGGTAAAAATCACATAACAAAGCACCAGTTATTTTAATGTGTACTATTTAGTGGTACTTAGAACATTCAAAATATTGTACAAATGCCAGTTCTGTCTGGTTCCTACACATTTTCATCACCCCAAAAGAAAACTTGATATTCTTTAAGCAAAAACTTTATATTCTTCCCTCAGTCCTTGAAATCTGCCAATCTGCTTTTTGTCTTGAGGGATTTACCTATTCTCGATATTTCGGATAAAAGAATCATACTTGACTTTTGTGTCTGGCTTCTTTTACTTAACGTGTTTTCAAGGTTTATCCAAGTTGTAGCATGTATCATACATCCACAATTCATTCCTTTTTATGGCTTAGTAATACTGTGTTGCGTGTACCTACCATAATTGGAAACTGGGTCATTTCTACTTCCAGCCATTGTGCCCAAATGCTGCCATGGGCATCTGTGTACACGTATCTGTGACTCCCTGCTTTCAACTCTTTGTGACATACACCTAGAAACATAATTGCTGGGTCATATGGTAAGGAGCTCTGGTAGCTTAGTGGTTATGAGTCGGGCTGCCAACCTCAAGGTCAACAGTTTGAAACTACCAGCAGTGCTGCGAGAGAAAGATGAGGCGTTCTGTTCCTGTAAAGATTTACAGCCTCAGAAACCCTGTACAGGGTCACTATGAGTCGGAACCGACTCCACGGTACTTAACAATAACAACATGGTAATTCTATGTTTAATTTCTCTTGAGGCAGTACCAAGCTGTTTTCATGATTTTACATTCCCACTAGCTATGGATGAGGTTTTGAATTTCCCTACATTCTTACCAACACTTTTAAAATTCCATTTAAAATCGAATAATATTATTGACATGTTAGTGGATATCTCATTGTGGTTTTGATTTTAATTTTCCCAATGATAATGTTCATCATCTTTTCATGTGCCTATTGGTCACTGGAGATATGTCTTTGTAGAAATATCTATTCAAGTTGTTCACTCATTTTTAAATTGCATTATTTGCCTTTTTTATTGTTAAAGAATAAGAGTTCTTTATATATTTTGGACACTAAACCCAAAGCAACAATTTCAATTATCGCTGAATATCACAATAACTTTTAAAACCTCTATCTAATTTTTGGGTTTCTGGTGTGGGGCTGTAGGATAAGTACTAGACTGCTAATCACAAAGTCATTGATTCAAACCCACCAGCCACTCCTTGGAAACTCTGTACAGGGCCTCTATGAGTCAGAACCAACTCAACAGCACTTAACAACAACATCTTATCTTTGGGCCACTTCCCCCCAAATGCTGGGAAGAGCCTTGAGAACTCATCTATCCCATGCATCTTCCTATAGAAAAAATAGTACCCTTCATTAATCAAATTAATCTGGTTGACTGATGCCTGTTACAGGAAGAGGGTGTACCTCAGGGATATCCAAATATTGTAAGGATCACTATGTGTGAAAGCATAGTCTAGGATCACAGGCTCCAAAATGTCATTCCATCTGGGTGGAACTAGTCATGTAACTGACAGGGTGGTTTGTCAACTTTTAGTGAGTGTCTGAGTTAAAGGGGAAAACAGAGTTCATCTTGAGGGTCAGCTGCCTGGCTCTAGGATCTCCTCATCAGGCAAGTGGAAGGGAACACAATACAAAAGAGGACCCATTTTCAAAAGTAGTGGAACAAGCTGCTTGTTACATATCAAGTCCATTACCAGACAAATGGTTGCCAAGGGTCAGGAAGTCAGGACAGGGTGACTGTTTCACACACTTGTTTTTAACATAATGGGTCATTGATTTAACTGCTGAAACGCTATACTACAGGGTTGCTATGAGTCAGAAGTGACTAGATAGCACTTAACAACAACAGCCCTAATAGGGCAGAACTACTAACTGAAAGGTCTGCCATCAGTTCAAACCCACCAGCTGTTCTGTAGGACAAAGATGTAGTCCTTGGCTTCCATAAAGATTTACAGCCCTGCAAAGT